TTACTTTAGTTTTCCATTAGAAATTGATTTCCTCCTTGCCAATGGAAACGTAAAGAACCAACCGGTTATTCGTTTTCACGAAACTCTTCAAACTAATTTGAACGAAGGGCGATACGATCGTTGTTTAAATTTCCCAGAGAGCAATTAGAATTAATATCGTAATAAGGGCAATTTGAACAAGAGAGAAAGAGAGAGAGAGAGAGAGAGAGAAAGAAAAATATTGAAATGGGATTTCACGTTTGAAACTGGAAATCGTCGCCATTTGATTTTCCACGGTTGTGATTAATAGTAAATCAGTGCGTGGCGATCGGCCGAGAATAATAACCGGTGAGACGTGCCGGTAACACGCGCGACCTAGCACAGCTCGGTCAGATAACGTCGTTATCAGAACCATATGGGCGCCGCATTGCGCGTTGTCACATAAAACCAGAGAGTATGAGGGAGAGAGAGGGAATTAAACGAATAAAGATTATTTCAGAGAGAGAGAGAGAGAGAGAGAGAGAAATTCAAGCCAAAATACGTATTTATATTTCATTTTTCATTTTGTATTTTATATTCAATTTAATAAGACCCTATAGTTATAGTAGTAGTAATATAATACTTTGATTTGTAGAAATGTTTTAGGACAAACATTTTTCACGTTTAAGTTTGAACGAGGCAAACGCCTTGGTAAGCTATTTTTCAAATATATACACGGTACTCGCATGCGGTGTGCAATTTACAACTTTGACTTGAAACGTGGTCACGTGGAAGGAAAACTTCAGCAAACATTTCTACCTACTCTCATGTATTCTCCGTTGGCATCTTCGGCGGAAATGATTGAACTTTAAGAAAGCATCCGTTGAATGCGAGAGAACTGGAAAGAACCGATTCAAGGGATTTGTATTGATTCGTCAAGTAGAATTTAATCTATTGATAGTTATCCTTATTCTTGTAGATTGTGAGATTGTGCTTTATTCTTACAGATCATCAATTTTTAGCTCATATAAACTTACTCAGATATTACGTGAAATTTCATGTGTGTTTAAAAAATATATAATATGATAGCAATTAGCCTCATTTAGCTCATAAAATCAGTTATTCGTGGTCCCATTGGTAAAAGATATTAGAGCAGATGTATCGTAGGTTATTGGGTAGCCAAAAGTCAGTAGGGTTAACCGTACGCTTTTCGTTATTTCACTAAACGTCATCGCGGTTGTACAGTGTCCTACGTATGTTGCATATACGTACATAGATATAATGTTCACACATAGAATGAAATAGTCGAAATACATTTTGCGGCTACGTAATAATGCCGACACGCACCGATGTTATCGCCATAATTGTGGGCATATTTCGAGTTCTCTGTAACAAAGCTAGGTACTCCACAATCATTTTGCTACATCATCTGTGGTCAATTAGATTTTCATTATTGATCTTGGGATAAGATTTAGAATGTTTGTACAAAAATATCAACAGAAAAGAAGATAATAAAATAGAACGTTTTATCATTTTTCTATTATATATATATAAAACGATTTATAGGAACGTACACAACGCGCGCACACACACACACACACACATTGGGCTGAAAATCTCTAGACTTTAATAGCAACGTCAACTTTTATTATTACATAAGACAATTCTCACGTCGTATCGTTTTTTCTCTTTTTCTTTCAATCCTGCTACAAAATGGTGGTTTCATCTTTATCCTGAAGAGAACTTGAAGGGTATACGGATCTCATTCTCACGATCCTTTAAAAGAAGTGCAATCTTAAAGAGAAAAAAAGATAGACAGAAAGAGAGAAAGATTGATTAAAATCTTTAAACGACGAAAAGCCCGTACAAGAAGTAACGCTTTAAAGAAGTCTTAAGAAGACCACAAGCTTTCGAAGATTTTTCTATTTCACTGACTACTGTGCAGCTATCGATATTTATATTAAATTATTATATTGTATTAATATTTTATCACAATCAATACTGTAAAGTATTATATGATAATAGAAAGAATGATTTTTTCTTGATAATGGATGAAGAATTTTATCGTTCAATAAACCGAAAGGTTATCATTCATATCTATACATACTTATCAATATTTACGGATACTTTTCAACATATTCAATAGCCGTGCATGCACTTTTCCATAACATCAATAAATATTGAAAAATATCGAGGCTATCGATAGCGGTATGTAATCGATATTTATCGACGGAGTTCCACCGATAAAAGGTTAAAACCCTGGCTGAGAAAGAAATAAGATGGAAGGAAAAGAGAGAGAAAGACGATAGTTCGAATCAGCCCTTGAACACACGTAACGTCAGACTGCTGTAGAATGGCGTAAATACATGATGCTGTAAATTCTGTCTCGTGGTAAGATTTATACGACGTTGCTGCTAAGGTATACAGGTAGATCGCGTATTAATGAATTTCCCGATATTTTCCGAAGGGCGTCTGAGATGCCTCGAACAAGTGAAAAGCGGCTTTTCCTTTTTCTCTCATCCCCTTCCTCTACACCTTTTCTACCATCCAATATTTAAGAGGGCGCATATATCTTCCGCGAAACAGCCCCTTTAACCCGTGGCTGGACACTTCCAATTTATTTGCAACGTCGGAGCATCTTTCATCGCGATTCTCCTACTTTCTTCTTCTTCTTCTTCTTCTTCTTCTTTTCTCTCTTCGTTTCATCGTATATAACACACACGTTTGCTCTCCAACGGAAGAGACGAATGAGTTCTGTTTACCGACGTCGAATTAAATTATTCCAAGGTTTTCTCCCAACCACACCCCCTTTTGCAAACTGCATCTTCTTCCACGCGGAATTATCCCGTCATCTCGGCAATTTCGAAAGTCGTCTACCTCCTACGAAAGATCTCTCTCTTACTTTAAAACGGAAGAAAGAAAATTCCCTGGTTAAAACCACAACTCGACGAGGCTCGATAAATGCGCGTAAGATATAACCCAGCTGATTCTAACTTGTATCTATCTTTTTCTTATCTTCCTTTTCCTTCTTTTAACTTGTTTTCTTTTTTATTTCTCTCTTTAAACTGCTCGAAATTAATTTCAAGAAAGTTTTCAACGTGGATGAAAGTTTATTTTAAATACCGATACGAAATATTCTGTATTCAATTATTAAGATTATGAAATTAAAGGGTTGGGGGTTATTTAATGTAGACGACAAATATTTGTTAAGTTTCGTGAAGAAAATACGATGATCTTTTGAACATATCACATCTTGATTTGAACGTAAGACTACTCTCGCCGCTAATTGGCAATTCGCCTTGCCACAGTAGACTACCTTTAATTAGATCCTTTTAGAATTGTAGAGAGAGAAAGAACGAAGTGGAATGAGAAAAATGAAAGCGTAGCAACCGATATCGACACTCTTAATGCTTCCTATAATTACCGATAAAAGCCCAGAGCCCAGAGACCTCGGTCGAGCCCTTTACGTAAATGAAAATCGATTCGCGAAGTAGGCAGACGTATCTATTGCGGCTACCAGCATCTCTTCTCTATGTGTTTTGCTTTTTTTCCCTATTTTTTTTCTATTTTTTTTTTTTTTAATTTTTCATCTTTTGAAGATACGACCCACGAACCACGGGGATCGTGAGTGAAGCTCGTCTAGGCGAGCACCCACCACAGAGCATCGATGCATTCCCTTTTTTCGATCATCCAGCTACGATCCCTTCTTCTCCCTTCTTCCCTTATCCTTCAACCATATGAATACGAATACGGCAACCATAAAACTACCGGTTTCGTGTCGATATTTCGATGGAGAATTTGTTCATGTTGCAATGACAACGAAGAATGGCGAACATATATGTCCGACTGGTGCATATAAATATTGCAAAATCCATGTTGATAACTGTAATATTCGTTAAGGTTTGGTCGTACGTGTTGGAGTAGACTATAACGTTCAAATGAATAATTGTAGATGAAAACACGTATGTTCTTTAATGGCAAATAAATTGTTGAAAAATACGTATGTATATATTTTATATCGATCGATAAGAGAAGAAAAATGATCGCTTATTATCGCGTTTTAATAGAAGACAAGCAGAGATCCTTGGAAATAATTAGGGCGAATTTTGTCGAACGCGGTAAGCATAAAGTACACGGTAATTACCCTAAAGTGCATTCTCCATGAGAACGCCCGTCGAGCACGTTCACGCGTTCCCCGTTAAAATGGCGCATTAAGTTTTATTTAAATGTGCCGGTTGCAACCGGTGACTGCAGCGGTTGCATCTTGTCGGAAGGGCATGCGTTATCATCGAATAACAATTAATACTAAATATTTAAACCTGACTTGCATTGATCCCTTTAAAGCAACACAGAACTATTCTAAGAAGTCTAACATTGAATGATTTAATATTTAGAATAATTATTGATAAAATTGAAATTGTTATAATTGGGGTTACGGCTCGTTATTCAATGAATGCATTGTGATTCCGATTTTGTTTGAATTTGCAACACCAAAGCTGTGCATTTTCATGGTCGACTTACCAAGTTGCCGTATATACCAAGTTAATTCGCGTAATACCATAACATTCCGCTTCATCGATTACAAACGAGAAAATAATTTGCTACTAAGGCCTTCGATTTTACTTCTTTGATATAAATGGGGAGGGAATTTGAGAATAGTGAGAGAAAAGTAGGCGCGCGCGCTCGGTTCGAGAGATACCTTTATTAATCGCAACGCTTTCGAGACCGCATAGATTCGGGATTAAGTTAATCTACGGAAAAGTTTCATAAGCGATGATTAATGCTCAAGCTCTTATCTCTTTCACGCAGAATAAAACGAGCCCTTACGTTTCTTAAAACAGTTGAGCTTTTCTTTTTTATCCAGGTAGGGTGAAAAATAAATGCTTTGATTATGAGATGAAATTATTATTTCAATTAATTCGAGATAGATAGATAGTTTGATTTTTAATATTTGATGTTAGATATACTTGCATATTGATTTGAGCGAGATTTGTAAGTTTAACTTTGAGGAATGCATTGGAGATGGCAAGGAAAGAACTTACCCTCTGGTTGATGGGGTGCATAGATGTTAAGATAGAGACAATCCTCATTCTGGTTCTTGAGATACTGCAAGTGCCTCTCGAGATACTCATAGCGTGCTGGTTTCACCTCGTCAGTAAGATTCGGTAGTACTTGTGGGCAAACGGGAGCGAATTCCACTGACTGTCGTACTCCTCTCCAGGGTTGCGGTGATCTCGGTGGTGTGAACCTTAGCGAACCAACTGGAGGCTCGGCATATGGGACTCCTGAAACATAGTTGCACAGTTTAGTTTCGACACTTTCAACTTGTCGATTTGTCAGCATTGCTATCTAACATCCCATCAAACCGATTAATTCATGATTCTCTCTCTCTCTATCTATTTCTATTTCTGTTTCCGTCTATCTACCTTCCTTTTCGATTCATTCTCAAACGTATTTTTTGTGATCGATTAAAAAGCTAGTAAAAGTAGACATCTCGTTCTCGATCGAGTGAATTTCAAACGAGCGAAATTGTTTCCTACACGTGTGGAACGATATGGAAAAAAATAATCTATCACGGCATCGATATCGCGTTTTATTCGCGAGAACGATTACAACGTTTCGTTTCATCGATACGAATAATTATAATTGTAGATAGATATTGCATTGGTACAAATGAAAAATATCAATCTTTTTTACATTTGATATTATTTTTTCAAAGACTTTTTGTTTCTATCAATTAAAATCAATTAGAACGGTTTAAACGAGTCTTTGCTTATTTTTATTGTTAATCAAATCAATTTTGTATAATTATTCGTCGTTTTTCCATCTTGAAAGAATATTCTTTTCCTTCTTTTATATACGTAGTGTTGTTCTTTATATAAGTAAATAAGAGACCCCAGACACTGTGTGCAGTAAATTTGAGTCGAGGAACGTGATAATCGTTCCCACGCGTCGTAACCCATGATTAATTTCTTCCTATGAATCGTCTACAGATTTAAACTTGAAATTCTCCCAGAGAAAGAAGGAATAATTGTGCAACGTGATAATCGATAACGTTTCTTTCTTTTTTTTTTTTTTTTATTTATACGGAAGAATGTGTTATACTTTAGTTTGTACGCAAACGTCGAATCGAAAGCTTATTGGTATCTCCGATCGATAGATCGTCCAGCAAACCGACTTTATCGTGACGATGAATTTTTCATGTCTCAATGCACCGCGAAGAGCTGCTCTGTGGCAGAATTCGGACACGTTTGAATAATGGTCGGCCGGAGGCGTCGTTACTTCGTGATTTACCGGCAAATAAATATCTGCTACTTCGTTTTGTTGGCTCGTAATACAAAAAGCAAATAAAGGTAAACGAACTTGATTATTCGCTTGAAATTACATGGGCCCGCGAGACTCGTATTTTCATTGAAAAAGACAAATAATCTTCTTGAAATGTGTCAGCTTGATTGTTTCCGAATGATGCATCTCGATGTTTAAAAACGTGCATAGATATATATATTTTTATTTATTTTAAAACAATTTGTCAAAAGAAATTAGACTCGTTTTACAGACTTACATATATATAGATATATAGGCTTGGAAGAACACATTGTAATTGCATTCTAGACACCAACTTAAACTACAACGAGAGGAGATTCCCGATAGATCATGCTTTTGTGAAATTCACTTTGGTGATGGTAGAGTTTCCCCTTGTTGTTTGTGAAAGTTCAAGTATTTTCCATCGAAACTTCAAATTCACTCGGGAAATTAAAAACGCCTACGAATGTGGTACGGTCCGAGCCGAATGAGTCGCTTAAAATACACGCGTAACTTCTATCGTATAACTATTTTCTTTGTAAAAGTCATTCGATCGAATAAATATTTTCCAAATGGAAAATACATTCTTATTGTTCTTTTCGGTCGTTAAGAGCAATTAATAATTTAACAAAATATCGTATAATATTTATATTATTCGTAATTATTTCCAGTATATCTAATTAACTTTGCAATATGTGTGGTAACGACACAGTTTTTACGGGGTATTCCTATTCGGTCTGCATACGAATATTTACATAGGTAGATACATATTTACGTAAAATAAAATGTCCAATTCTCTCTCTCTCTCTCTCTCTTCCTTGCATACCCATAAAAGTACATATATTCTTATGAACATTTTACAATATTGTATTATCGATTTACCAATATATACACGTAGTATAAATTAACACGTAATGTAACGTTAATCTCGTTTATTTTATTGATTCATTTGAAACTTAAATAATCGTGTCGATTGAAATGAAATTGAATAGTTTTTATATTATCTTTGATTAAACAAAAAACAAAGATTTTGATCAGAATCGTTTTCGTTCAATTTCAGCTCGTTTAAAACTCTTCCTCTATGTGTCTCACAGCAGAGGATACACAATGGTACTTCCGGGATGTCCCAGATTTCATTCTTTTTCGAAATGAAAAATTTTCGCTAGAAAAAACTTATTGATTTCGCATAAAGGACACGAACCAGCAGCTTTTGTTGAAGTTTTCGATTCGTGCGTGTTACTTTTAAAAGCATTTACTCTTACTCTCTCTCTCTCTCTCTCTCTCTCTCTCTCTCTCTCTCTCTTGTCTCTCTTTCTTGATCTTTTTCTTAAGAGAGACACCAGAAGATGGAAGCAGAGAGTATCTATTCCCGAAACACCAAGGACGCTTCTTCTTTTGGATCCTTCAACGTATCGGAATTCTCAAAGCCATGCGGATACGTTGATCAAACGCGGGAGGTCGCTCATGGAAAGTTTCGCCTTCCAAGCGAACTTCTCTTTAACGGCGTATCGAATCCCATCGGAGAGAGATCCTGATTGCTAAAAGAGAAAGAGAGAGAGAGAGTGAGAGAGAGAGAGAGAGAGAGAGAGAAGGAGAAAACTATTGCGAAACTCTACGATTACGATCCTCTCACCGCGAGCCGAATTTAACTTCCATCCTTCTCGCAAGAAGCTTTCGTGGAATTTCAAAGAGCATAAAAAGTACATCCTCCTCATCCTTTTTCTTTTTTTCTTTTTTTCTTTTTTTCTTTTTTTTTTTTTACTTTGACGATTTAAACGTTATGTCGAATCTCAACTTGGCAGAGTTGCTTGATCTATCTATCTATCTATAATATTTGAAGGATCCGAAAGAAAAGCATTATTTTTAGATGGTCTGGTTTTGGTTTAGAAGCGCGCATTTTTTAATAAAACTTTGGGCACACATTTTTCAGAATTTTCGGAGAGGTCAATGGAAAAGTCTAACGTTTTTTCTCCTACGTCTATTAAAATACTCTGTGCTATTGGAATTGTGAATATTCTATCAATGACGAACGACTTTGACTATGTATGTAGTCGGAGGTATATTCGTATCAACATGGTTCATAGAATATATCGTCTTTTGACGACGGGAAACGCCGCTGTTTCTTCTAGTTTATCCGTTATATGCGATAAGCAGAACGCGATTCTCGATTGCTATCGGTATGTATAAGAATGTAGAGCTTTCAAGGATATTGTCGGGTTTAAAGGAACTTTTCCAAGCTGATACACATTGAAGAGATCTTCGAAACATAGAGGCTATCTTTACGATTCGATATTACGAAATACGAGTATGTATATTAAATATTATGATATAGTAACTTCCTTTTTCTTTACGACTTTTGTTATATAGCTTGTATAAAAAAAAATTGTACAAATTGTAATACTATTTATAAATGTAGATTGCACAACGTGATTAATTAAATGAGAGAGTAGAAACGTTAAATTAGTAGAAAACAGGATGGAAGAATTGTTCTTCGTAGAAACGTTTAATGGAAATGAGAATTTCGATTTGTGGCATGCAATTACACTTACCGAGAAAAACGTCGACCAATTGAAGATCGTGATTGGTTCTCGGTTTGATCACGGTTCCTCGTAATCGACCTTGTTTGATTTTAACATCTTTCGTCACGTGTTCCATGCTTTCTTGATGATACCTCGGATAATTGATGTAAGGTGCACGAGTTTCACGTGATTCACGATGTTCCGTCAGAATTTGCGTGCAAGCTAAAAGCACGAAGCCAACCAACTCCAAACGAAGCATCTTCGACATTTGTTTTAACTGTTTATCTTTGAATTTACTTAACCGATCTATTAATTACGTCTAAATTGATTAACACTAATTTATTCATTAAGCTAATAATAAAAGCAAATAAAGCACTTTTCGTATCAACGTTAACGTGGAAACTCCTCCTACGTGCGGTCGTCGACGAACGATATAAAAGTATATTTATTTTTAGAACGTTGAATCTTTACGTTTCCGGAACACAGGAAGTCTCTCCAATACGTGCTGCATTTAAATTCAACGTACTCGCTACAATCTAAATAATATATAAATGCTGATGGTGATTTACACCATTTTTATAGTTTATTTCAATCCTTTTATCAATTGAAAATTCCAATCACAGATTTTATTGCAACAAAATCGAAACACTTTCTTCGTATCCAGCATCATTATTCTTCTTTGTCTTATTCTCCACTCACTCAGTTTAGTTTGTTTGTCTATTTTTAATATCGATATCACAAAAAATAAATGAAATCCAAATCACGCGGTACTTTTGATGTGAGATGATTTCGACGAGAAAAAAGTCACGAGACTTAAAAACACACGTTGTTTGAAAAGTTGAAAACGTTTGTGCGTTCTTATGGTTCGAAAATACGACCTTATTCTCTCTCTCTCTCTCTCTCTCTCTCTCTCTCTCTCTCTTTCTCTCTCTGAAGGATATTCTTGGCGACGGTACAAACAAGGGTGAACGCACGTACGCGTTGCTCCATACGCGGGGAAAAGGAACACCACTCGAACGCCTACTCTATTTTCGAACTAAAATACATATAAACGGGGTCCACTATCTCCTCTATATTTGTGCATGCGTATGTGTATGTATTTTCACCATCTCTTTCTCTCTCTCTTTCTCTCTCTCTCTCTCTCTCTCTATCTCTTAAAACTCATACTCAAAACTTCCTACCAGCGATATCTTTTCGAACGATCAACGAATAACTTCATCCTTCGAATTTACGCTCCACTTACGAGCTTCGAAAACGACTTTCTTTCGAAATTCAACCCGTAAATGTCTAACTCTTCTTTATTTTTTTTGTTCCTCCTTTTTTCTTTCTTTCTTTCTTTCTTTCTTTCTTTCTTTCTTTACCTCGCCTTTAAACAAGATCGTATTTCCCTCCTCTTCTATACGAACTTCGATTTTCCGATAGAGAACACTTTCGTGAAAATTCGAAAATTTCGAGCTTACATACGGTATACACGGTCCATTGAATCTAACTTATTAGAATAGAATCGCAACAAATCGGAGAAGAAAGCGTAGTTTTATTTTTCAAAAACTATTGTGTAATAAATAACGAAACGTGTTTTTTTTTTTTTTTTTTAAGTGAAAATTTCTTTAGAATCAGGGTGATTTGAAAATCGTCAAACGGAAGAACGTGAAACCGATGAAACAAAAATTATTAATTAATTAATTAATCTTAGGTAATTATCTTAATTATCTAGGTTCTGTGTAGGGTTCTTTCAATAGATGGCACTGTATTACAATTCAATTATTTCGAAGCTTGGTTTTCTTTGAAGGTTTCACTTCTACCATGTGTGTGATTTGCACACATCTGTTTTTTTTTCTTTTTTTTTTTCTAAAGAATTCATTCGTAAATATTTTCGTAGATATTTATAAGAGGAAGTTTTAAATGATGATAATGTGTTTCAACCTTAATATTATACATTTGATTTAATCGAATAACGTTAAATACTTATTAATGTTAAAACGATGATGATATAGGGATGTTGTTGCGTTACATGATATACATACATTGATACAGATCCACGAACAGAGACACAAACCAAGTACGCAATTTTAATGACGTACTAATTACGGAATATATACCGATTTTAATTTCCGGTTTAGTTTGATATCGTCTTTCGCGTATACGTGCATACATCGATAACTCAGCAAGTAAGTACAGATAGGTAGTATTCTGAATATAGCCGAATGCAATTTCCAAGTTAGGAATGACGTTAAGCGTTGCCTAGCAAACTTCCAAAACGTTCGCGTTAAATTTCCTCTCTCTTTTCTCTCTATCATTCTCGTAGAAAGAGAGGAAAATGAGTAAAGGAGGAGATCGACGATCCTAACTGAGAAACTACATTTATCCAAATATTTATTTCTCGATATTTAACGTAAAAATCATAACTTAAATCTACCACTTATTACTCTATGAGTTAAACATTGTCATAAATTCAACAATATTTTTCATCTTTATTTATTTCATTTATTTTTATTTTTTATTCTTACGAATGCGTTCAATAATTTTTCCCCGATGAAAAATCTGATGAGGAGTAAAAACGTCGCGTTATTTTTAAACTTCAAATCTAACGAGAAATGCAACGGGATTCGATATGAACGTCGAAAATAGAGAAAGCATCGATCAAATTCTTGTGTGCTCTTAGAAATTCTCGTCTCGTTTTATAGAAGGTACAATTTTGAATTTGCTTAGTTAAGAAATGACTCTAAAACAATCATTTTAGTTCATACGTATATTTTCAAATAGACTTTTACACATACCACATGCACAAATACGTATTCAGAAGATACGAAAATGAGTAAAAAATTCTCCGCAGATGTTAACGTTCACATTAACGTATATCTTTTTCATCTGATTTTCTTGAGAGCTTCTTCCACTGGCAACAACAGACAAAACAACGTTTCACGTTCAGAAATGCCGTTATTTCTTGCAAATGAAAATTAAATAAAAATGTAAAGTTATAAAAAGACAATTCGATTGAATGATTTTCGATTGTTAAAACACACGGTTAATTCTTTTATGATTTTGTATCTTCCAGCAAATTCGTGTCCGTGGTGTCTCGGCAACGCGGCGGAACTAAGGTCGTAAAGGGGTGAGGGTGAGGGTGAGGGTGCGGAGAGCTTTTCTAAAATTAAATCGAGAACATTTCGAGGACGAGCAGCGCCGTCGACCGGCCAACTAAACTCTCCCCACGTTAGTCTTCCAATTTTTATTTTTAACAGAGTTTAGCGTGCCGACGAACGCAAGTTCCGCTTACGTATTAATACATATTTATACGTGTGTTTCTATTCATCTACATTTACCAACAAACAACGATTGATAATGATACCACAATTTCTCTTCTCTTCTCTTCTCGTAGCTTTATTTATATTTATTCATTTATATTTCATTTTTCATATATACAATGACACGAAATTTATTTCATCGCGGTAAAAAAAAAAAAAAAACATTATCAAAACTTTTTCCCTACGTAAATGGTTTCATCTCTCTTTAGAGAGTCCAACGAACCGGAAAAATAGTGTTCCAATTTTGCTATACATAGAAAATATTTAAAATTTGCAACTTTGGTAATAATACCATCGTTTCATCGCGAACAAATACGTGCTGCTCGCGTAGAAACCATTAATACTCATACATTTTTCTCAAATTTTACTAATGACTGTATATTTAATTAACAAAGTAATTAATCTTTTTCAATAATTGAACATTTGGACGTAACGTTAAATAGAAGTAAAGCTCGTATTTCATTTCAGTTGGAAATCATTAGAAAATAGCTTCTCCTGTTTCGGATAGTAACATAAGAAGACGAATACGTTTACCTCGAACTTGATTCGAATTTGGTGAGAAGCTTTCAGGGATGTCTCTCAACGAGCATAAAGAGATTAAGGATTCAGATTCGCCAGAAACTATCCATCTTAAACTCTGTACACGACTCGCCACGACATATTCATGGAACGTAACGACGTGTAAAATCTACGATAAGAGTACTTCGAGAGGATTTCGTTTCTTCGTTTCTTCGTTCCTTCGTACCTTCGTACCTTCGTACCTTCGTTCCTTCGTACCTTGTTCCTTCTATCCTTTCGTAGAGGATACGATAGGTATGAGTTGTCGTCTCTTTTGGGAATATCTTCTCATTTACGTTAATGAACTTCAACGAATCTTCTTCTACGAACTATGAAACGTGACTTTCCTGCGATAACAAAATGCCGGATACGCTTGTTTAATAAACGAACATTGAGAAAACTTCCTCTCTCTCGCTAAAGTACCTTATTAAACCCTATTATTTTCTTTTACAATATATTTTCAATCCCTTTCCCGTTCCCTATAATTATATTCGATCTTATCCATGAGATTGTCACAGGTAACACCTATACCTTCCAAATCATAACTCATTTCTTTGAAAGAATTTGGAAAAGGACCAATATTGATGAATTTGTCAGTTTCATTCATCTTTCGCATGATTTCGCAAAAATCATCGTAGCTGTAGGAAAAGGAAAGAAACGATATATATATATCCAGGTAGTTCGCGATAAAAATCGATCTCATTATTTCTCAAGGAGAATATTTCCTTCGAGTATCTTGCAAAATTTTAATCGCAATTGAGAAATTAATTCTTCTTCTTCTTCTTCTTCTTCTTCAACGCTGTTTCCATCGGTCGAAGTATATTTTCGAATATTTTTGTGTTCCTCGTTACGTGAAAAACGAAGGAAAAATCTAAGAAAATTCCTAATTAAAGTAGTTTTGAGTGTCGATATTATTAATTCATGTTTTTTTTTTGTTCTTTCTCCTAGTTGATGATGGGAAAAAAGTTTACGTGCTTGTTGCCTTGCTCGTTTCTACCATTCAAATTGTAAAATATATTGTACGTGTGATGGTAGTAGTAGTAAATGGGCAAAAGGAGAGAAAACAAATTTGGATTTTTATTTTTCTTTCTCTCCTCGTTTCGGTATTTTCGAATGATCATCGATCGGTGGGGAAAAGGGTTTGTTTAATAAATTCACAAGTTCGACAAAAGCTCTTTCCATTACTACCGTACTATACGATGTGCTTGCATAAAAGAAAGAGAAAACATTTGTCGATTCTATAAAGTATTGCAAGACAAAAGAAAATAAATAAAATACTTTTTGAATGTTGTGTAAATTATTAAAACATCATTCTTAACGCGATGACAGAGAGGAGTCGAAATATACTTGGGGAAAAAAAAAAAATGTGCTAAAGGGGTGTTGTCGTGAAAAGAAAAAGAAGTGGCCTAAATTTTCTACCATTATTTCGAAGAAAAATGGAGAATAGAGAAAGTAGAAGAAGAAGAAGGAGAAGAAGAAGAAGAAGATTCCTCGTCTTTGGTACAAATTTTCGCTCCAATTCCTACCCTCTGTCTTTCAGTTTTCCGTTTCATTCTTTTATCCTCCTCGTACTTACTCTCTTTCGTACTAGGGTTTCCTTCGGGATCTCGAGAGAAAAAAAAATAAAAGAAGTTCCTTGCATATATACTTTACTTTACGTTTCGTTTTCTTCCACATTCTTTTTTTTTTTCCTATCCTTTTCTGTGAAAACCACGTGACGCAGCGTATAGTTTCATGTAGGAGAATACAGCGATATCTAAGGTCGAATGGTTATTGGGTAGAGCAGAAGAGGGGCTGGTGGTGTGTGTGGTATGCCTACGAAAAGGGTGCTGAAATAATACTACGAAAGCCATGTTACCGATTTCTACCTTCAAGTAAGAAAATTTCGAATTTTATACTAGGGTAGTAGGTACCACCCTACCCACCTCGTTTATCGTATTCTACGGTGGTTAGAGACCATGATACCACCTGCAACCAGTTCTTCCCATTCACGTGCGAGATAGATAAAGATCAAGATACGGATACAGATATATAAAAAAAAAAAAAAGAAACAGAGAGATAGAGAAAATAGAGAAGATTCTCCAACGAAACCCATAACGTTTTCAGTTTTTTTTTTCTCTCTTCCTTTCCTTTCGCCCATATATATATATTTCCTTTTTCCACACGGTAAAATATTTTAGTATCGATACGAATATATTTTCTACTAACGCCCTATCGACCGTAAACGAATCGAAATTAGAAATAAATGTAAACGCTGAACAAATTTATTAGAAAAAAACAAACATGTGGGCATATCACACAAGTCAGAAGTGAAACCTTCAAATAAACAAGTTTCGAGGATAATTTATTATATTATATTATTATAATTTTATTTGTACTTTTAATTTGTAATTATTTATTTAATGAATAATTTAATTTATAAAAATGCTCGCCTGTTCGTATGCAATCCTCCCGACACATTTTGAAAATGTTGCTTGCAAGCGCCATGTATGACGGGTTGCCTATCTTTCGGGCAGAAAAAAAATTCCGTCCCGACAGATGACGCTCGCAAGCAACATTTTCAAAGTTTGTCTGGTGGGTTGCATTCATACAGGCGCCCATTTTTATAATAATTACAAAGAAAGTAAATATCTGTTGATAGCATAAAATAGATGATTGGAAAATCCGATAGAAGTGTTGGAGTTTCTTTCGTAAATAAAAAGATGAGAGTAAGTACGTGTATCGTAGAATCTGCGCACGCTCGAGCTCTTGGATTAGCGACACCTCTTTGATCAACGGGTAAAAAGAGACGGATAGAGTAAGTAAGGTAGGAAAGTACGTGCTATCATCTAACCCACCACCCTAACAGATTTTCAATCTCAACGTTAATTAAAACTGACGATAACGAAGTGGATCGTCATCTTCGTTTTCCTCGTTGCCGGTGCGAAACTTTGATCGATGGAAAATCACCTAGTTCGTGTTTATCGTTTTGTTTCTTCTCTTTGTTTGTTTTTTTTTTTTTTTACAATATTTCTTTCCAAATCTTGTCAAAATGTTTTAGTTTTTTTACTAATATCAAAAAGATGGGTTTTTATGTTGAAAAGAATAGTTCGTGTAACGAGTTTACGTTGTTTAAGATGAAAGATAGAAATGAACGAAAAGAAAAAAAAATAAAGGGAAAGAAATGAGGAAGAAGTTGTTTGGTAAGGACGAGTAAGTTTCTGATGAAACGGAATAAAACGTAGTTCGATCAAACCAAGATAAATCTAAGGAAAGAGTAACGAGTTCGATAACGAACGACGAAAAACTTTGGCCCCGTCTTTCTCGAAGAAAACAGAAAAGAGTTTGACTCTTTAACTTGGGGTGGATTCGCGTAGAAAACTAGGAGGGTTGGATGGGTGACTACCCGTCGTCGTCATCACGGCAATTAATTCCATTTCACGGACGTAAGAGCTCGCTTGTACGGTAATTAAATGGTGTCGGCCCCTTGCACATCTCAAACGTGTTCGACACGCGAGCATAGTAAACTCACTCCCCCTCTCTCTCCCTCTCTCTCTCTCTCCCTCTCTCATGCGATCGATTGGATGCACGCTGTCGACCTTCCAAATCCGCTTCGACTCGCCCAATCCAACACGCGTATTTTCGAGCACGTGGATTACAACAAACGATCCTCGGAAATTACTTTCTCCGTCTCGTTACTTCGATTTACATAATTTATTTACACACACGGATATATATCTATATAGTTGCAAAGATATGTTTGATATCGTCATTTTGTTCTCGTAATCCTCTTTCGCGAAAGATTGCAAGTAGCCGATGGCGAGAATACCTGGACCGTTGCACTGCTTTCGTCTAGAAAAGTAGAAAAGAAGTTAGGATGGAAAAAGGAAGAAGAAAATGGATCTAGATCTAGGAAGAAGTGGAGCACGTTCAACTACGATTTAGCCGAAAACGAGGTTCACTTTTTCCTCGAGCTTGGACGCAATGGGCCTTGCTTATCGATATACGAAATCTTGTCAAGTAGCTAAAGTATAACTCGATTTTTAGCTTGGTTGGCGAAAAATGTCAGTTCAGATTCAGGTTTAGATTTATAAAACGATTTGTGAAAAATGATTAATCAAAAGGATATGCTAGTCTATAAGAAAGTGACGATCTACGTCACATTCTATCCTGTTAATATATAAACGATATCCATGACACATCCTATAAGAGACACTCTTCAAATCCCAATAGAA